AGGGGGGACTCCCCAACCCCCTGATGGGCCCTGCTCTGTGCTTGACAGGGGGGAGCTCCTCAACCCCCTGATCAGCTCTGCTCTGTGTGTGACAGGGTACGGAGCCCCAGCCTCCCTGATGGGCCCTGCTCTGTGCATGACAGGGGGCAGCGCCCCAACCCCCTGATCCGCCCTGCTCTGTGTGTGACAGGGGGCAGCGCCCCAACTCCCCTGATGGGCCCTGCTCTGTGCATGACAGGGGGCAACGCCCCAAACCCCTGATCGGCCCTGCTCTGTGCGTGACAGGGGGCAGCGCCCCAACTCCCCAATCGGCCCTGCTCTGAGCCCAACCAGGGGCTGCACCTAGGGATTGGGCCTGCCCTCTGCCACCTGTGAGCAGGCCTAAGCCAGCAGGTCATTATCTCCTGAGGGGTCCCAGACTGCGAGAGGACACAGGCCGGGCTGAGGGACCCCCTCTCTCCCCCGAGTGCACAAATTTTTGTGCACCGGGCCTCTAGTCTTTATTATATAACAGCAGATTGCTGGGTTATCCAACTTCACAAAGACAGGAATGTGAGATCCTAGAGAGAGGACTTAATTCTGTTTGTTTCTGTAGCTGCATTGAATGGCAATAGTTCTCTACCTATAAGACAACAAAGTGCTTATTTCTGCTCCAACTGATTAACTTCCAGTTTGCTTCCCCAGGCTGCAAGGGCATGGCAGTGGCAGAATCCTCCCTTCAGAGAGCTGTTGGAAATGTTCCTAATGGGTAATGCTGGGCAGTTCCTTTGTCTTAGCATCTAGGAGACCATGGAGCTCTGGGTCTTAATGTGTTGTGATCTCTTTTTATTTCATTTAACTTAAAACAAAATAATGCTTATTTTCTTTTTCAACAGGAGTGAAACCTCGGTCTGGTTGGGCTATTGATCCTTTTGGACATTCACCAACAATGGCTTATCTTCTAAAACGTGCTGGATTTTCTCACATGCTTATCCAGAGAGTTCATTATGCAGTTAAGAAGCATTTTGCGTTGCATAAAACACTGGAGTTTTTTTGGAGACAGAATTGGGGTATGTAGGGTTTGATGAAAGTTGAAGAGCTCACTTGACCTAGATGTTATTTCACAAGGGTTATGAACTCCTGCCATAATAGATTTTATTCAGAGTGCCAGTCTTGAAAATCAGGTTGCCTGAAATACACATTCTTATTTCTACAGAGTACTTGTGTGGAAATTCTTTAAAGCAATGTTGGAGATATTTATCTATAGAACATTGTAGGCTCTTTTTTATGCATAAAGAAAATAAATAAATAGAAGGAATTTGAATTGCAAATCATGTTTTCACTTCTATTTTAAAAAGCACCTATTTTTATCACAATTGAACATGCATTACAACTAATACCGAGTCACTTATCTCATATTCAGCTAGTATTTCTTTCTCTCTCTCCTGTCTCTGCATCTAGTGAGAACTGCCTTTTAAAACCTTAATCCTATCCTCCTAGATCAGCTCTCGTATTACCTATATTGCTTGTTTTCTTACTGTGTTTTATGGGCACTCACACGTTCTAGGGACATACTTTTGCAGCTCTTTGTTGGGTGAAAGGAGACAAGATTTAGGTCTCTTTGTAGGCCTTTGTCTTTCCCACCCCCATTTAAAATTTAGAACATCTTATTTTTAAGTTTATTTTATATTTATTCAGTCTTTATTAGGGGTCATGCATTGTGTCATGTGCATTATATTAACTTTTTCATTAGATCTTCAAAATAATTCTTTAAATTAGGGTCTATTATTATCCCTTTTGTATAGTAAAGAAATGGTGGCTTAGAGATGTGAAGCCATTTTCCAAAAGTCATACAGGTAGTAGGTACAGAGATAAGATTTGAATCAGTTCTGAAGCCTAAACTCCTAACCCTCAGCATATACTGCCTTCCCACTACAGAGTTCTTAGTCAGATTTCATCTGAAAAAGTATTTAGTTGCTAAAGCAATGTTCAGAAATTACTGCATTACAGCATACTTGCTTCCCTGTGTAATCTAGACCCCCTCTTAAGTGTTTCAGAAAATTAATTTGTAAATCTAGATAGTAACTTTCTTGTATGTACTGCTGTGTTTCAATAAGGAAATAATTAACTATATACTTTTTTATTTTGGAAAATTAAATCTGTAGAGAAAACAAGAACTTGTAGGGAGTTTGATCAAATGCAAAGGAGTATATTCATTTTTCTAAAAAAGAATTAGTAATTGAAGGAGCCCTACTTAAACTATTGCATACATGCCAATTGCCCGTAAATATTAGTCAATAGGAAATTAGTGAGCACTATTATGTAGTTAAACTTGCTTAGAGGAAGTTTAAAAAACATCCTTTCCTATAAGGAAATTATGGTCTCATTTGATAAAAACAACACCAAATGCAGCAGATAAAAGAAAACCTGTAAATGGGCTGCTAAATAGTATGGTGTGAGAAGAAAGAGTTGGGTGAATATATCCTTGATCCTAGGAGAAGGAGGGAAGTTCCATCAGTTCTGAGACCTGGGACAACCCCTGTGCAGATAGCAAGCATTAGTGACCAACATCCATGGTGTCACAAGATGTGATTCAGTGAAAGGACTGACAACACAGAATTAATACAGATTATAACATCTTTGAGATTTGGAAAAGAATTAGCAATTATTTAAGCTAAATGGAATGTGAGGTAAAACTGAAATATTTTAGGACTTATCTGGTAGAGTTGAATGTGCTGCTTTAAAATTATATTTTGGAATTAAATTGAGCTTCTTTGTGTGTTCTGGTTCTTAATGAGCAGTGATTTTCCTTTTTAAAATGTAAATGTTGCTTTCTTTTGTCTATATTATGAAAGCAACATATACCCATTTCTGAAAACAGAAATCCATACCTAACTAAAGGGGGAGAACTAGCTACCCATCAGGATCATGCAAATATAACCACTTTTAACTCCTCAATCTCACTGGGTGGGCTTCTGAACTCAAGGACAATTACATCAACACCTTGCTGGCATTAACATTTTAATTATAAACAATTCTGCATCAGGAATCAGTGTTTGAGTGTTTGTTCTCCATATCTTTTTTGTTTGTTTGTTTTGTTTTTGAAAATTACTGCTCCTTTCCCTTCTGGGTAAAAAGTCCCATTGGCTCTTTATTGGTGAGCTTTAGAAGGACTTCACTAATTCTCCTGGTTGCACTTCTTACTGGAGAAGTGGATAGGAATTTGCCCAGTATTGTCATAACTACCCCCCCTTTCTTTGTTCTTTCTGTTCCCCCTTTTACTTCCTATCTCCACATCCAGCCTCTGCAGCTAATGGTCTCTCTGTTACCCGATGTGGGAAGAGGTGTGTCAGGAGCTGGCAGCCAGGGCTGAACATGGCCATAATGTTGGATGAGCTAGTTATAAATTTTGCTTCTGCTTCGTTTGTATCATCCAGGTCAGCAAATGCTAGTTCATGGTGGGGCTCTTCTGTATCTGCTAAGTGTAGATATAAGAGGTAAATAGAGACTGAGGTATGAGTCTCTTCCTTTAGGCTGGTGGTCATTCAGTACTGCTGGGGTATATGTACAAGTAGTTGAAGGAATTGATTTAGGGCACAGCTTGCATTATATAAGTATAAAGTACTGGCATTTTTAACAGTTTTGGGAAAACAAAGTTTATAAATGCAGGTTTGTCTGTTGACTCTTTATTTTAGATCTGGGATCTATCACAGATATTTTTTGCCACATGATGCCCTTCTACAGCTATGACATCCCTCACACTTGCGGACCTGATCCTAAAATATGCTGCCAGTTTGATTTTAAACGGCTTCCTGGAGGCAGATTTGGTTGTCCCTGGGGAGTCCCCCCAGAAACAATAAATCTTGGAAATGTCCAAAACAGGTATGAAAATAATGCATTTCATAAAACAACATCTTGAACAAGCAAGCATTAGTTGCTTGTTGCTGAAGGGTTGAATAAATGGGCTTCAGTAGCCAACATTGTCCTCATTCATGGTATTCATTCAAACCAAATTAAAGCAACTCAAAAATGCCAGAGCCTTGACGATGCCTGTTCTGTGTTACAACTTAATGGAAAGTGGAATAGTAGATCCATATACAATAGATAACCTATAATGAACTGTTATTACCATCTCCTTTGCCCTCCTTATAATAGCCTTCTACTGTATTTGATTGATTTCATATACTAGTACTTTTGTTGATAATAAAACTTCTGGTCCCTATTGTATAAATTAGTAAGAAAAGCAACCCAACTGCAAAAACACATTTATTGAAATGGAACAAATAAAAGTGTAATTATTTGTTCCCTTAATAACAATTTCAATACTAGTGAATGCTGCCCAGCCCTGATGCATATACATCTATGCACCTTTGTGATGTTTTTGAATTATAGAAAACTTAATTAGAAATATTTATACTTAAAGATATTTAAATAAATATCAAAGGATTGAACATATTTTAAAGAAAATTTTGCTAATTACAGAGTTAATAAGTTCTCTATAGGTCTTATTTTGATGCTTTTAAAATTTAATTTCTCCACTAAAAATTAGTGGCATATAATAAATTAAAATGAAATGTTGTGTTATAATATAAACCACTCAACTCTGCTAAAAAAAATAATACAGCCTTTTAAATAAAGTAAGATCTTTGTACTGTGCTCTGGAAAATGTATGTTTAAAAATTACATTTTAAATGTGTGTGAGGAGGAAGGTGAGATTGTGTCTCTTTGCCTTGAGCAAGTCCTTGTGGTCATAAAGAAATTACTGCAGTGTGAACCTCTCTCTCTGGCAAATATAAAAGTATTTAGCATGACAGCCTCCTTCAAGCCATGGATCCTTTCCATCAAAATCTGACTTTCATAGTTGTTTTGAGAAACTATCCAAGATTAAAGATTAACCTTGATTCATTTTCTTGGTTCCTACAGCAGTGGGAACCATTGAACAGCCTACTTTCAGGGGTTAGGCTGATTAGGCATGAGAAAATAGTTCAGTATATTATGTAGGGAGAGGAGGTGGGGCCAGGGGTGGCTTGCCTGTCTACTTGAGAAACGGCTCTGTGTCATTGAATCAGGTATTTACAATAGTCCTCTCAGCTCAGGTGGTCAGGGATGGGGAATTACTTGAAGGGTATAGCAGCTGTAGAGTCCAAGTGCACCCTTGGACTCTATTATGAGCCCCTTCTTTTTCTTTTTTTGGGTGGTGCTGAGAATACCTGAGAGGCATTTTGTGTAATCCTTTTATTGTGTTCTCTAACCCTTCAGGAACACACCTTGTACTCATTCAGTTCCAGTGATTCTGAAAGTAGTTTCCAGGTACCTGGGTTCATACAGATGAATGAATCTATATAATATTTATGTAGATTTAAAAATTCTTATAAATCTTGAAATCTTAAACCTGTTAGTTATTTCACATTCAAATATTACCTTCCTTTTGACTTTGTGATGGAAATCAAACACAGACAACCCAGCTTAGTGGTACTTGACTTTCTAATACCCTAAATAAAATGAAGTTTAATTATAATATACAGGTGACATATTTGATACATTCAGTTGAGCAGGTTCCTTTACTTTGAAAATAAAGAAATGCCATTCTTCATCAAGTTCAATTTTTGGTTTAGTACCATGTATTTTACATGTGATGATGATGATTTACATGTCAGATGGAATGTTTCAGGATTTTTTTTTCTCTTGATTCTAGTTTAGTTGACATTCATACCTGGTAGAAAAAGTGAGGAGCAAATTGCAGCTGCACATCTTCAAATGTGATGTTGGTCACTTCATTTGTCATTAGTTTACCATATATTTAGTGAGTATCCACTCTGCCAGGTGGTATAGGCTGGTTCCTGGGCTTTCCTATCGTTGACACTTTCTGAGCAGAAGCTTGAAAGTTAGGATAGTTGCTGAATGGAAAAGACACATCATTAGTGTTCCTGATTCCTTTCCTTTTATGTGTTTTACACATGTACACCTACGGTCGTAAACCTTGGAATACATTAAAAATCACATATCCTTTTTTATGCTGTGACTGAAGGATCTGGTTGAATGGTCAATCATAGTATATCATATATTTGTGAGTTATATATTTGTTTTAGTCTCTTATTTCTTTCAATGTGATTATTTTGGATGTATTTTTTAATTGTGAGTAATCTAAAATTGTTTTTGGTAAACTTGGAATATTAGTAAATTAGTTGTAAAAAATAAGTACTCAAGTAATGCTAATCTCAGAAAACTAAGCATTGTTTTATCTATGAACATTATGGTTATATTTTATCAAGTTATTAAAATTTGGTTAATAATTTAATACTTGTAAAGCAATTTCTGAGTATCAAGGTAAAGAAATCATTTGAGATTCTCAATTTAGTTAAATGGTTTTTCATAATTTCTATAAAATGCTTCTATCATTGATGTTATTTGAGTTTATTTCGTAAGTTTTTATATTGTGAATTGGAATTTACTTCTGGATAATTCTTGAAGTGAAAATTGAAATACTGGGTAAAAAAGCATATTTGTAATTTAGCATTAATTTCTTGAGCTTTGGTATTATAAACGTGGAGAACTACTCTGGTTCATCTGCTTGTTTAATTTCCTTTTCATAAGCCCGTGTCTTAATTTGTATTCTCAGACTTCCTCAAATGGTACCCAGTTCAGCATTTTCCAAAGGGTTTTCTGCCGAATACTAGAATATGAAATATAAAACATAGTGAATTGTGGTTAACTGACTTTCTGAGTCATGGGCTAGAGCCCAGGGAGGTAGAAACCAAAACAGCTCACTCAAGTCTTAAGCTTTATCTGTTGTTCAGTATTGAAGACAGCATGGAAAATAATACTCAGGTTATTGATGGCAGGTGTTAACTGAATTGATTTTTTCCGTTAGAAAGGAAATATGGCTCGATAATTGGTTTCATTCAAAATACACTTTTTAATGTTTAATCTGGCAATTTTAGGTTAAATTAGAGAAAGAGATATTACTATCAAAGTTCTTATAGATGAGAAATCCTTATTGTCTTCCTAGACTACATAATTTTATTTTATTTTTCCTGATAATTTGTTATGTGATTTTATTTATTTTTTAAATCTTTATTGTTGAAAGTATTACATATGTCCCCTTTGGACTACATTATTTTAAAACACAGCTATCTGGGATCCCATCTCTATGGCTGGCCTTTGCAGGGCATTGATGCCCCAGTAATTATATGCCAATGTAATTATATGACTTTATTTCTATGAGGAGTTTTTACATCTGATAAGAACATATGAATATTTTAAGTGGATAATGAAAATTGGTGTGGTAGTTTAAACAAATCTGCCCCCTAAATTATACTAATCTAGGAGATAGGTAAAATAGACCATTTCTTTTGATATAATACTTTTTAATGAGTTGGCCCATAGTTTATTCCTTAATACTATTAATATTTTCCCTTTTTACTTCTATAGGGCTGAGATGCTTCTGGATCAGTACCGAAAGAAGTCAAAACTTTTCCGCACTACAGTGCTCCTGGCCCCACTAGGAGATGATTTCCGCTATGTTGAACGCACGGAATGGGATCATCAGTTCAAGAATTATCAGATGCTTTTTGATTATATGAATTCTCAACCTCGGTATAATGTTAAGGTAATGAGAAAAAATTTACTCATGATACTGTCTTTGAAGTTGAGCCTTCATTATTAAATGAAGCTAAAACACAATAGCCTTAGTTTCTTTGTCCCGCGATGTAGTATTTCTTACAATATGTAGTTCTTATGTAAATTGTAATTCATGAAGAGGAAAATTACCTGATACCCTAGTGCCATTTCCAGGGTTTTCCATTTTCTATCACTCCATGAAGATTAGAGGGCGATTACTTCTATGTGGTTGAAAACATGTACCTACTAAGTTGTGATGTTCGTTTTTCAATGATGTTCTGTTTTTCTGCCAGCATTGACAGGTTATTGTTTCTCTCTGACAATGGCATCCTTGTGATTTAGTGGTGTGACAGGCAGGTGCAGGTGAACATGTCATGAATTTTGCAAACAAATGTCTTGTGTCCAGAGAATACATTAGCATTTTCTTAGATGAGAAGACTTCCAAAATTAATCATTTGATTATAGTTCTTGCTTTTTTTTTGGTGTGGAAAATTTAAAATGTATCCTAAAGTTTTGAAAATAATACAAATACATCCCCACCACTCTGCAATCCATTCACTAGCTACAACATTCATCAACTCGACGTCACTTTCATTTCAGCTATGACCCACTGTCATCTCCCTGTCCCTGGGATTATTTTGGAGCAAATTTCAGATGTCATGTAGTTTCATCTATAACCATTTCAGTGTGTATCTCTAAATGATAAGGACTCTGTTTAAAAATAGAATCATTGCCCTAGCTGGTTTGGTTCAGTGGATAGAGCATCGGCCTGTGGACTGAAGGGTCACAGATTTGATTCTGGTCAAAGGTACATTCCCGGGTTGTGGGCTTGATCCCAATAGGGGGTGTGCAGGGGGCAACCAATCAATGATTCTCTCTCATCATTGATGTTTCTATCTCTCTTGCCCTCTCCCTCTCTGAAATCAATAAAAATATATTTTAAAAAAATAAAATAAAAATAGAATCATAAAACTATTATCACATCTAAAAAATTAGCAACAATTCAATAATAGATTCAAGTTTTCCTGATTTCATAAAAACATTTAACAGATGCTTTGTGTGAGTTAAGATTCAAACTAGTCATATAATAGACCCTTTATGAGAAAATTATTTATTCAACATGTTTATTATATTCACATATTAACTTTTCAGACAATAGAAAATCTGTGAAAATACTGTACCAGGGAAGTGATATTACTGTGTGGGAAATTTAAAGGCTGACAATGGACCACATTTTATGTAGTGAGAATTCAGGTTTATTAAGTAAACTTAAATAATATCACATAGATAAATAAACTTAAATACCAAGTTTATTCAAGGTACTTACAACTGAATTTCTACCAGATTATGATCTTTGAGCATCAGGATTCTGTTTAAATCATCTCTGTAATATTCTCAAAGATTAAGCTCACACATGTACATTTGATTAGAGAGCCACGTATGTATGTTGGTATCTTATCTCTAAATATATTTTCCTGGGGAATGGTTTTGAACTCCATAAAAGGTCCTTGCTGCCTGACTCTGAAGAATTAAATCCTAATTTTGGTATTTTACCTATTTCCTCCTTTTTTTGCACACTAGAGCAATTTTTTAAAGTAATTTTTAAGATTGAAACATCGCATGCATAGAATTGCACAAACCAAAAGTATGCAGAGAATTTTTTTAAGTTTAAAACCTCCATGTAACCATCATCCAGATCAAGAGGCAGAACATTTATAGCGCCCTGGCATTCTCTCAGGAATTCTCCACATCATTACCAACTCCTGTAAAAGTAACCATATTTTTACTTCTGTCACCATGATTAGTGTTGCTTCTTTTTAAATTTTATAAAAAGGAAATCTTAAGCATGTGCTATTTTGCATCTAGCGTTTTTTGTTCCACATTGTTTGTAAGATTCATCCATATTGTTGCATTTAGCAGTAGATCATTCATTATTAATGCTGTATAATATCCCTATCCACTTGATAACTATACTACAATATAGTTATTCTATTGTTAATGAATATTTGGGTTGTTTCTGGTTTTCTTCTATTACAAATAAAAATGCTTTGAACATTTTGTGCATGTTTTAGTGTGAGGGTTTCTGTGGGTATAAAATGGGATGTAATTTTTTGGTTATTATGTACATGTTTAGCTTTAATTAGATATTGCCAAACAATATTACAGAATAGATATATGAGCTGTTGCATTGTATGATTGTTTCAGTTGCTCCACTTCCTTACTCAGACTTTGTATTGTCAGGATTTATTTTTCATTTTTATCCTTTATGACAGATGTGATGATTTTATTTTGTATTTCCCTATGGTTAATGAGGTTGAGCTGAGCCTCTTCTCATAATTTATTGCCACTTGGGTACCTTCTTTTATGAAATGCCTATTTAACTCTTTTGATGATTTTTTTCCCCTTAAATTGGTTGTCTGTCTATTTCTAACCATTTATAGTTCCTTTATGTATTTTGGATTGAGTCTTATTTCAGATAAAAGTTATGCCTATATTATCTCCCCTTATGTAGTCTGTGTTTAATTCGTGCTGTCTTTTGATTAACAGAAATTCTTAATTTTAATTAAATCTAATATTACAGTATTTTCTTTTATGGTTAGTGCTTATGTTCTGTTTAAGAATTTTTTGTTGACTCGATCATCATGAAAATACAGTTCTTACGAAGATGTCCTCTAGAACCTTTACTGGTTTACCTTCCACTTTTAGTTCTGTGTCCATTTGGAATTGATTATTGTGAGTCGTGTGAGGATAGGGATCAAGATACACATTTGCCCATATGGATATCCAGCATTATTTATTGAAAAAACTATAATTTGCTCACTGCACTGCAGCAGCATCTTTGACATTAATGATGGCCTGACTTCATTCCTATGGATCTGTATCTAAACTCTCTATTCATTCGATTTTATCTATTTGACTAATCTCATACTAATTACGACAGCTTTATAGATCTTATTATCTGCTGGGATGTCTTCTAATTTTGTTCTCCTTAAGATTGCATTGATTATTCTTAGTTCTTTGTAGTTTTATGTAGGCTAAGGAGGACCAACTGTTAAATTTCTATATAAAAAAGTTGGGACTTTGATTAGGATTACATTCAATCTATGGATCAATTTGAGTGCAGTTAACTTCTTTACAAATATTAGGACATCTAATCCATGAACATGGTATATTTTGTGTATAAAAAAGTGATTGGCTTTTGAGTTTTATTTTTTTTTAAATCTGAACAATAAAGATTTATTTAAAAAAATAATTTTATGATTGGGGGTCACCACAACATGAGGAACTGTATTAAAGGGTCGCGGCATTAGGAAGGTTGAGAACCACTGCTATAAGGAAATTTATGCCCTCTCCAGGAAGATGGTTCAATGTTTGGAAAACTTTTCTCTGGGCTTTATCCAGGGGACACACACCAATTGATCAAAATTGAGAGCAAGGGCCAGGAAATTTGATGAATAGGCACCCTTCCATTCTTCATTTTTTTTAATTAATTAAATCTTTACTGTTCAGATTATTACAGTTGTTCCTCTTTTCTCCCCCCATAACTCCCCTCCACCCAGTTCCCACCCCACCCTCCTCCCTCACTCCCCTCCCACTGTCCTCATCCATAGGTGCACGATTTTTGTCCAGTCTCTTCCCGCATCCCCCTCACTCCTTTCCCCCCCAAGAATAGTCAGTCCACTCCCTTTCTATGCCCCTGATTCTATTATAATCACCAGTTCATTCTGTTCATCAGATTATTCACTTGATTTTCAGATTCACTTGTTGATAGATGTGTATTTGTTGTTCATAATTTGTATCTTTACCTTTTTCTTCTTCTTCCTCTTCTTAAAGGATACCTTTCAGCATTTCATATAATACTGGTTTGGTGGTGATGAACTCCTTTAGCTTTTTCTTATCTGTGAAGCTCTTTTTCTGACCTTCAATTCTGAATGATAGCTTTGCTGGATAAAGTAATCTTGGTTGTAGGTTCTTGGCATTCATCACTTTGAATATTTCTTGCCACTCCCTTCTGGCCTGCAAAGTTTCTGTTGAGAAATCAGCTGACAGTCGTATGGGTACTCCCTTGTAGGTAACTGACTATTTTTCTCTTGCTGCTTTTAAGATTCTCTCTTTGTCTTTTGCTCTTGGCATTTTAATGATGATGTGTCTTGGGATGGTCCTCTTTGGATTCCTTTTGTTTGGGGTTCTCTGCGCTTCTTGGACTTGTAAGTCTATTTCTTTCACCAGGTAGGGGAAGTTTTCTGTCATGATTTCTTCAAATAGGTTTTCAATATCTTGCTCTCTCTCTTCTTCTGGCACCCCTATAATTCTGATGTTGGTACGCTTGAAGCTGTCCCAGAGGCTCCTTACACTATCTTCATGTTTTTGGATTCTTTTTTCATTTTGCTTTTCCAGTTGGGTGTTTTTTGCTTCTTCATATTTCAAATCGTTGACTTGATTCTTGCGATCCTCTAGTCTGCTGTTGGGATTCTGTATAATATTCTTTATTTCAGTCAGTGTATGCTTAATTTCTAGTTGGTCCTTTATCACAACCTCGAGGGTCTCATTAGATTTCTTGTAGGTCTCATTAAGTTTATCGGCTGTTTCTAGAAAATTCTTGAAAAACCTTAAAAGTGTGGTTTTGAACTCTATATCCAGTAGTTTGCTCCTCCATTTCTGTCATTTGTGTCCTTTTTCTTTGTCTCCGCATTTTTTATGCTTCCCTGTGTTGATAAAGTGGTTTTCTGTGCTAAGTGTCCTCTAGGGCCCAGTGGTTCAGCCTCCCCAGTTACCTGAGGAGGACACTCTTGGTGCACCCCCTTGTGGTCTTTGTGCACAGTCTTGTTGTAGTTAAGCCTTGATTGTTGTAGGTATCACTGGGAGGAATTGACCTCCAGGCCAATTGGCTGTGAGAATCAGCTGTGTCTGCAGTGGGAGAACTTCTGTGCTGGAGACACCCCTCCGGGGCAAGACTTGCTTCAATGGGGCTTTGGTGCTCACTGAGTCTGCCCCCTGAGTGTGTTCTTTATGGTTCCACGGAGCTGCAAACTGGATGGTCCCACTCTGACCTCTGGGTACACTGGCTCCTGGATCTCTAGGGAGGTGCTAATCGGCTTTTGAGTTTTAACCTTGTATCCAGTAACCTTGATGCACTTCCTTTCTTTCCAAAAATTTTGTCCCTCAAGTCCTGACAGCTTTGACTGTCCTTCTATATCTTTAAACAAAATCTTTTTTTTCTCTATAGTTTATGAAGCTATGTCTGTTCTCGGTGCGATATTTAAAATTACTTTGTCTAAGCTGAAAACATGTTTATTATTTTCTTTTAATGAAAGGAAAAACAGGAGTAATTGAATAGCTAAAAAATTGACATTGTACTAGCCAAGAGAGCTAGTTTGCTATCCATCAACTCTTATTTAACAATTTATCTAATTTTCCATATATGATGTCCTGATATAGGAGTTAAGATTAAGATTATGTTTAAGATTAAAATTTTGCTTTTTAATTTAAAAATCATTTAATTATATTTTTGGTTATATTTTTAGGTGTCCCAAATGTTTACTTTATTTGAGCTGCCAAGAGACTGTATAGAAAAACTTACTTTAAATATTTTCTTCTGAAACTACTCTAGCATAGAGGATTATATTTCAGCTCTTTAAGGCTGAAATAGGTTTGTGAGAAAGCCTACTAGGCCACTTACTTAAACTTTTCTCTGGGAAAATACAAAGTAGGAAGTATTTTCATCCTGGCTAATAAAATTAAATCTTTTTAAAAAGTATAGTCAGTTGTTACTAGTAACTCTATAGTATGCCATGGTTTCCTAAAATTTGAAACTGAAAGGGATTTTTGTTATCTAATAGAAATCCCTTATTATTTAGATGAGCAAGGTACGACTTAGAAATATTTAGATTATTTAATATTTTGCCATTGTATACTTCCCTGATGTCATCTATACCTATTGGATCTGAAGGTAATGCTGTATTTCCTTATATTTGTGACCCTCATTTCTTGTATGGTTTTACGCACACACACACACACACACACACACACAAACACACACACACACACACATACACATACACACACACTTATATTCTGCTTCCTAGTAATTGAAGGAAGAAATAATACTTACAATATTAGCTAAAACATAGTGAGTACTTATTATTTGCTATTAACTTTTTAAAGTGCTTCACGTTATTTGACTTATTTAATTCTCTAAACATTTTCCGGTAGGTACTATAATTATCCCCATTATCCATGAGGAAACCAAGACCTAAAAGATTAACATGCCTAAGACACTGTATTTGGTGAAGCCAAAATAAAAGTGAATAATACAGTTGAAAATTGATTTTCTTTAATGTAAACATAAGAATTTAGAAATAATCATCTGATTTGCTATTACAAAATTTTCTGTATCACAATAAGATTATAATAAATTATTCTTGACATACTAATATCACTGTTGTGTTTCCAGTTGAAATTTTGCATTTGCATGGAGAAATAATAGCTAAAACTCACATCATTATATGCCAATATTTGTAAGCATTTTACTTAGAACTCCATTAGCTGTAACACAGAGACACAGGGATAATATATAGTATGGTCAAAGCCACATGTTAAGTATTAGAGGTAGAATTCAAACCCATGCCATCTGGATCCAGGTTCCTTGCTGCTCTTAACCATTCTGCTCTTGTGCTACTCACTATTTAAACTACTTTTCTTTTTCTGCCACACTGAATCAAAATAGCTTTTAATCTCTCTCTCTCTCTCTGTCTCTCTCTCTCTCTCTCTCTCTCTCTCTCTCTCTCTCTCTCTCTCTCTCTCTCTCTCTCATAGGAAACAACAAAATTAGCATCTTTCTATTAAACTGTTTATTTCTAAAAAATACTGTGTTTTAATATTTGTTTACAAGGTCTGATATAATGTTTCTGTTTTCTTTTGATTTATAGAATAGTTTGTTCTTGTAAAAATGGATTTATGTATTGGAAATTTGAATCATTTGTCAGAAAGACCTATTCATCTGAGCAATCAACCTGACACTGTGTTGTACTTCTCTATTCAGTGTTGTGTTACCTGCTGATAAAGTCCTTTTTTAAAATATGGCCTGCTGTTCCTGAAGTCCTCCCTTCTCCCTTATAGGAACTCAAACTGAGAGGAAGGGGAGACCAGGGGAGGGTATGAGTATATGACAAAATAAAGTACTTAATGACTAACAAAACTTACTATTCTAGACTTTTGGAATATTTTGCTCAAAATATGTCTTTTATTTATGACTAGAGGCCCGATGCACGAAATTTGTGCAAGGGGCTTGACCCTCACAGTCTCAGCTGCCTTGGCCAGCCCTCACAGCCCCGGCCGGCCCTTGCAGCCCCAGCCAGCCCTCGTAGGCCCGGCTTCATCCGGAAGATCGTCTGGATGGTCATTCTGCTCTTCGGTCTAATTAGCATATTAACTCTTTATTATATATAGGATGTTTCCCCATCTTTCTTTCATTTCTGAATTATTCCATGTCCTGATCATTGAACTTTTTGAAATTCTACAGATATGTATGGAGTTTTCAGATCCACAGATCTGTAGATCTAAATAGCTCTTCTTCTAAATGGTTAGTTGTACAAGTTTTCTCCTAGTGTAATTTGGGACTTGATGGCAGTAAAAGAAATAGTCATGAGTATTTCCCCCCCTGCTTTTGAGTTTTGTAAAATCTGAGCTACATTTTTTAAAATTTATATTTATTGTTGGAAGTATTACAGATATCCTCCTTTTTTTCCCCTTTACCTCCTCCACCCTGTCCCCTCCCTTCCCAGGCCTTCATCACACTACTGTCTGTGTCAATGAGCTATGCATATCTATACTAATAAAAGGGTAATATGCTAATTAGACTGGACATCTTCCCATCACCCTTCCAGACAAAGCCACGGTGGCAGGAGCTGAGACAGAGGCAGTTAGGGGTGATCAGGCTGGCAGGGGAGAGCAGTCAGAGGCAATCAGGCTGGCAGGGGAGGGCAGTCAGGGGTGATCAGACCAGCAGGGGAGGGCAGTCAGGGGAGATCAGGCCGGCAGGGGGGAGCAGTTAGGGGGTGATCAGGCCAGCAGGGGGTGGCAGTTAGGGGCGATCAGGTTGGCAGGGGAGGGCAGTTAGGGGAGATCAGGTCGGCAGGCAGGCAAGTGGTTAGGAGCCAGCAGTCCTGGATTGTGAGAGGGATGTCCCTCAAGGGGTCCCAGATTAGAGAGGGTGCAAGCTGGGCTGAAGGACTCCCCCACCCCCCATGCATGAATTTCATGCACCAGGCCTCTACTATGCATATAAATTCCCAGGTTAATCTCTCCCACCCACCCACCCCCACCTTCCTCTGAGACTACATATTTTTACTTGGAAGCTTACCTTAAGTATTTATTAGAAACTTTTCATTGTAGTGCAACAGTAATTTTAATGTAACTATGAATAATTGAAGTGTAATTTATTTTTACTAGATTCAGTTTGGAACTTTATCAGATTACTTTGATGCCCTGGATAAAGAAGATGCAACTAGTAGAATGAATAGCCAGTCACTGTTCCCTGTTCTAAGTGGAGATTTTTTCACTTACGCTGACCGAGACGATCATTACTGGAGTGGCTACTTTACATCCAGACCTTTTTACAAACGAATGGATAGAATATTGGAATCCCACTTAAGGTACATTTACCTTTAGATAGATGCATTTAGTTATTTACTTCTCTTACGTTATCATAGCCTTCTGTAGAGTTTTGTGTAATATAAAACATTTATGGAGTGTCAGGATGTATTTTATGTAATTGTGAAGTTTTAATGAAATCAGAGCTATGTCTCCAAAGCATAATCAAATTATTGCATGAGTTTTTGTTCTGGAAGGAAAAGCAGTTTATGTAATTATTTTTTCTGGGAGTTGTATTATGTATTTTATATTTTTCTAATTAATTGCCTGTATTGGCACACAATGATAATATTCAGTGACATTGTCATGTTTGTCTACAGGTCAGTAATCTGGCTAAATTATTGGAAATGGGCGTGAATCAAAAGGAGCAAATAGGGCCTCTCAGTAGCCAAAATGTGAGCCTCAAAGTAAATACTCTAAAATGAATGTATTTTGTTGGTAGGAGAACTTTAGAGGCTTCATCTCAGTTCTTATTTTATTTGAAACACATTTCTATAGGTGCACTTTTCTGCTTAGAAGAACAAAACTTTTAAGAGATGAGAAATAATCGAGGCAGAGTGAAAAAAATAAACTTACATGGAGAAGACAAATGTCAGTAGAAAACATGCAAACGTTCTATACCAGCCTTGTCCAGTAGAACTTTTAGTTACTGTCCAATAGAACATTCTGCAGTGATAGAAATACTCTGTTTCTGTACTGTTTAGTGTGGTAGCCACACTGTCAAGTGCTTGAAATGTGACCAGTGTGACTGAGGAACTGAAATCTTAATTTTATTTAATTTTAGTAAATTCAAATGCATGTACTACATGTAGCCAGTGGCTATCACAGTGGAGAAGCACAGTTTTAACTGAGTCTTGTTTTTGATAAAAATGAATCATCCCAGGGATTTGTATGTATGTGTAACCCAGGAGAGTAATTAATTTTCATGATGAATTCATTTTCAGTTCGGTTCAAATCATGAATTGATGATGATTAATTTTCATGACAAATTTCAGTATTAAAAATAAAAAGCTATATCATACCTATGCTCTTTTATATACTAGTGGGAACAATACATTTTAGGAAGCCTTTATATAAAAAACATGAATTTCTTAAAGAGTTGTACATTGGTATAATAATGTGTTTTTATTATTTTACTGTTGTGCTACTCTTATTATTACAAAAGCTTAATGTTTTTTGACTGGATATTCACAAGTGCGCCAGATGAATACATTATTTCTGTATTTGTAATGAAACAGTATATTTCATAGAGATTTATGCATTTTACTGAGTAGACTGTTAGTTCTCTGTTAGGGTATTCTGAACTATCTGTGACAAAAACAGAGCCCGATTATGAATGATTTTTAAGTGTCAACTGTTTTTTAGTAGCAAAGAGTTATGAATGTTGGGTCAATATTAATTTATTGAACATATTGAAGGTGAAGTAGTAAATATGGGTAATATAATTTGAAAATTCTGCTGCTTTAAAATGAACAATAAAAATATAATTGTGAGCCCTGACTGGTTTGGTTCAGTGGATAGAGCATCGGCCTGCGGACTGAAGGGTCCCAGGTTCGATTCCAGTCAAGGGCATGTACTTTGGTTGCGGGCACATCCCCAGTAGGGGGTGTGCAGGAGGCAGCTGATTGATGTTTCTCTCTCATCTGATGTTTCTAACTCTCTGTCCCTCTCCCTTCCTCTGTAAAAAAAAAAAAAATCAATGAAATATATTTAAAATATATATATAATTGTGAATTTCATAATTTAATTTATTTGAAAATAAGTTTATTATCTCATAATAGTAATATTTTATCCTAATGCTCATTTGTAAACATACAATGTTTACAAATTAAAATTTTAATAAAAAAGTAAAGTATAAAGAATAAATATTCTTAAAGTCCACTTTCTTACATTTTGGTATATATATATATACATATATTCTTTCCGAAACCAGTAGTTGCTGAGAATATGTATAAACATATGTACACAAATTCTTTAATAATACAAATTTAGTAATTCTTATGCTGTAAATTTCAGAAGGGTTAGAATATAAAAATAGATTATTTAATATCTTTTCATTATTTCAACAATTTAAAGGAATTTATTGTTTTCAAAAAGCACTGAAAATCTCCTCTTTTTCCTGGTATCTTAATACATTTGCAAGCCACCTTGGTTTTCTTTCCATCATCTTTAACATGTTTTGCATAGAGAACCTTCTTATATTTTTTACTCCATCAAGCCATGGCTCTTTTTAAAGAACTTTTAAACCTATCTTGAATCATATCCTCTGATGAAAAAAAGATAAAAGGTGAAAATTATAAACTCCCATGTTCTTGCTCAAAAGCTATTCTTAAAGCTAAAGTGTTTTATTCTTTAAAATAAACAAGAAAAGCCAGAGTGTGTCTGTCATCTTTCAGTTTTTATTGTTAAATTCTCTATAGTTGCATGTTATTATTCAACATTTAGAGTAGCTCTTGTCACTGAACAATCAAGCCATCATTTTCTGCTTCTCCTTTACTGTTCGCCTCCCATTCCTGTAATGTGCGTTTTCCCACCACCTCTCCTCTTAATGTACATTTGTGAGAGTAAATGGCTTTCTGGTGATGAAGTTCATGGCATATGTCTTCACTGCTCTTGGAGAGAAGAAAGGAAGAAAACATTTATCACGTTCTTACTGCTTTGCTGAGATATTTTTTCCTGATGTTATTCATAAATAAGCCTATCTTTCTGCCAGTGTGTACTGGTTTCTTTCCAGACCCATCTAGAATGAGAGCCATTTGTATCAACAGGAAAATTATGTTCTTTGATGATTGAGGATATAGATTTATTAGATAGATACCTGGGTGGGATAATAAAAATGTTTATTATCAATACCTTTCTTATAAATTGTACTGAAATTGTGGATTTTTAAGTCACATTTGAAAATGTATCAATGCAACATATTTTAGATAGCAAACTAAAATGATTGTTTTGAAATAAAAATTAATGACTATTTTATGCATTTAGGGCTGCTGAAATTCTCTACTATTTCGCCCTGAAACAAGCTCAGAAATACAAGATAAGTGCATTTCTTTCATCATCCTCTTATACGGCGCTTACAGAAGCCAGAAGGAATGTGGGACTGTTTCAACATCATGATGCTATCACAGGAACCGCAAAAGACTGGGTGGTTGTGGATTATGGTACCAGGTAATATAATTATTGAAAAGTGATCGTAAAACAAAATCTTTTAAAACTTTGGGTTATAAGCTTATATCTTTTGATGTTTTTTTGTCTGTGTGTTTGTTTGTTTTAAATATATATATTTATTGATTTCAGAGAGGAAGGGAGAGAAAGAGATAGAAACATCAATGATGAGAGACAATCATTGATTGGCTGTCTCCTGCATGTCCCCTATTGGGGATTGAGCCCGCAATCCAGGCATATGGCCTTGGCCAGAATCAAACCCGGGACCCTTCAGTCCACAGGCCGACGCTCTATCCACTGAGCCAAACCAACTAGGGCTTGATGAAGTTTGTAATGTATATCAGACTACATTAATAATATTCCTTGTAATATTTCTATAAAAAAGAAACACACCAATTTTCAAAGCATTTTTTTCAAGAAATCTGTTCACAGCGTACTAGCTTTCTCAACTTTTTATTACAGTGCATTTGTACAAATGGAGTAGTAAAATATTATAAAATGGATCCTGTTTTCTCCCAAGTATGGTATGGTACTTGGAGTACCTTCATAACTAAGGATTTGATAACCAAATCATGGTTATAACTCAGAGAGATACAGAGGTTCACTTCATTGTATAGAAATTTAATTTCATCCTATTTTCATCCAGATGTTCTTGGATATCTTATATTTCTAGAGGGATATTGACAAGAAAGAGGAAGCCTAGAAGCATAGCCAGCAAGTACAAGAACCTAGAAACTGGTCAAATATGGATTATATAAGGAATTGGGATGAGAAAGGAAGGCCTGGGTATTAATATTAAAGTCATCCTCAACATTTTGTAGCATTTAACATCATAAAGCTGTTAGATGAATGAGGGGAGAAAACCTCAGTTATTTTCATATTGCAGAATTAGAAACAATGAGTACAGTCTTTAGCTTAGAAAAGCCCGTTTTTGTAAACAGTGCTTCCCAATAATGGAAAGGCTTATCTTTTGTAATAGTGAGATTTCCATCAACATGCTGGAGCGTGAACTACCATTCATTAGGATCAGTGCACAGGAGATTCTTACAGGAAGGAATGTTGGTGGTTGCCTCACTATAGTTCAGATTATTATTTCTTCCAGATTTTTTTTTCTATCAATAGTGGTATGCTGTGATAGCACTTTAAAATTATTAAAAATATGCTCTGATTTTCTTATAATATAGATTTAAAAAGTGAATCTCTGTTTTACATAAACAATTGATCCACAGCTGATGTTACCAATTGAAATAAATGTTAATTATGTTTTGTTAATATTTTGACTGCCTTTCTAGAAATTTGGGAGAAAATACCCTTGAGGTTTTATTAGTTGATTTGAGTCATTCATTTATATATATATATAATTCAAGGTAGTATCCTGAATATCTTCTCAATTTTCTTGTGGCATATGTATTTGGAATCCATCTCTTGAGGTTTAAGATGAATTTAAAGTGGAAAACACTCACTGAATGATAATGATGCTGGTATTTTTCCCTCAAGAAGCAACTTTTTGTTTGTTTGTTTGTTTCAAGAGTTTTTGAAAGTAAGGTTAGATCTTCAATTTTTTCTTTTCACTTGTCTTCTTGGTTTATTGAGAGTTTAAACATAAGGCCGCTTAGAATCAGACCTGAGTTTCTAAGAGGATAAAGAGAAGTCCTTCTCCTGCACTGCCTCCTTGCTTTCTGGCTGCCATGTTGAAAGAGATTTAGGTACAGGTTACTGAGTTTTTGCTACAGGACATTTTCTGTCTCATCAACTTTCCAGATACCTGTCATTATATCTTCCATGTGTTTGCTATTACTTTTAGCTTACAAAAACATTCCTGTACAAATTGCATCTTAGAGAAAAACACACAACAATAATTCTCAGATTGTATTGACATTTGTGAATTTGCTTTGTGAGCAGTTCACACTTCACTGAAACATCATAAACAATTATCAAGTCATTATCACAGACATTTTCATTTGGAAATTTCAAAGCACAGGTAAGAGAATTATAAATAAAGAGGCAGCATTGGGTGTCCTCTTGTTTTTGGACTGTTGACTAATTTTTATTCAAATGTTAGCAGATATGTCCCTATGAAGAAATGTATGAGTTAGGGATGGCATTTGGCTGCTAGCAATAGCAACTCAAAACAGAATAAATCTGATCCTACTTATTTTTATGCTTATGAAAGAAGTCTGCAAGTCCCCCATTCAGGTATGACAGCTCCTTCTAGCTTTCTCTTCTGCCATCACAGGGTTACTTTTAAGAGTCATGCTCTCAACAGTAGATTGAATGTTTATCCTATATAATAAAAGGCTATAATAAAAGGCAAGTTGACCAAACGGTGGAACGACCAGTCGCTATGATGTGCACTGACCACCAGGGGGCAGACGCTCAACACAGGAGCTGCCCCCTGGTGGTCAGTGCGCTCCCACAGGGGGAGTGCCGCTCAGCCAGAAGCCAGGCTCAAGGCTGGCGAGCGCAGCTAGGGTGGCGGGAGCCTCTTCCGCCTCTGCTGCAGGTGGGTGGTAAGGAGAATCTCATGCACTGGGCCTCTAGTATAATTATAAACTGGAGCGCAAGATACATTATGGCATATTTTTGGAAGTTAATTCTAATCATGGCATAAAAATGAATTAGACTGGGACAGTATTTGTAATAGATGCTCAGCTTAAAAGTGGATAAAGGGGCTATATGGAAGAGAAGAAGAAATGTTAATGAGGTCAGTTACAGAAAGATTTAGAATTTGCCAAGTTGTAATTAAAGGAGGTAGGAGAAAGAAATGAGCAAAGGGCTAAGTGTGAGGGCCCCTAACATATACATCAAACTTGGTATTACAAACAAGATGACATCTCTTTGAAACAGTACCATGATAACAGACTAGAAAATTGTGATTTCTAAGTGATATTGCATGAACTGTCCCGTAATAATAGGATAAGGGCATGTTAGGAAGTTGGAGGCTCTGAGAAATCCCACATTGATTTTAAATGTGAAATATTTAAAATTTTGTTGTATCCAATGTATTCCAAACTCATTTACTGTGTTTAGTGTTCTTTTGTTTTAAAGAAAGCTATTTACATCCTGAGAAAGTGTTTGGGGAAATGTGCTAGTCTTCATTGCTCATTTCATTAGAAGACTACATGTCTTGGCCACTATGAATAATGCCGCATATAGAGGTGCATATATCATTACAAATAATGTTTTCGAGTTTTTTGAGTAGATGCTCAGAAGAGGGATTGCTGGGTCATATGATGACTCTATTCTTAATTTTTTGAATAAATTTATGTGTTTCAGGTATGTCCAGAAAGTTTTCTATTTCAAGTGAGTTCTTATCAGTGTTATCTTTTGATTAACCTTTTTTCTTCTTCTAAGTACTTACTAGTAATCGGCATAAAAAGATTCTTTCTAGCCCTAGCCAGTTTGGCTCGGTGGATAGAGCATCAGCCTGTGGACTGAAGGGTCCCAGATTCAGTTCTGGTCAAGGGCACATGCCTGGTTTGTGGGCTCGATCCCCAGTGGCAGGCGTGCAGGAGGCACCCAATCAATGATTCTCATCATTGATGTTTCTATCTCTCTCTCCCTCTTCCTTCCTCTCTGAAATCAATAAAAATATATTACCAAAAAAAAAAAAGGTTCTTTCTGGGTTTCACTTTGTGACTACAGGAATGGGGTAATGGTGCTTCAAGCAGTATGAAAGAAATTGAAAATATTGTATACTGATTTTTAAGTTATTTCTCAAACTAATAAAATTTTTGATTCACAGACTCTTTCATTCATTAATGAATTTGAAGAAGATAATTGGATCTTCCACACTACTACTACTTTTGAAGGACAAACACTCATATGAATCATACTCTTTTGATACTCTCCTAGAGATGGTTAGTTGATATCTCTTATATCCATTATAAAAATGTGATTCTTTTGTTCTTTGATTGGAAAAAAGGGGTGAGAAGCTTAGTGAAAAGACATTGAAAAATAATTACTTTTTGTACATTACTTGAAATAATTTGTATTACTTTATATAAATTATTTGTGTGTTCTTTCCTATAAGTGTGCCTGTGTTTGATTTATGGTGTGTACTTTGTTCTGACCAAATTTAAGTGTGAAAAATAAAATAATAAACTTATTTCAAGGAATGTGAAACAAACACTCTTTTAGAACACTATTAAGGTGATATTGTAAGGTAACTAGATATTACAAATAGCTGTTTTGCTGGGCATTAATTAGAATCCCTTTGATATTTGAACTTCTATAAATCCTTAATCTCTTCTTAGTAAACTTTAATTTGAGTACTCTTAACTTATCTTCTGGTTTCAGGATGAGTCCATGAGGGCTATGGGCAGTGCTGGGATGTGTAACAGTAGAGCAGTGATTGAGGATTTAGGAGACTAGCTGTTTGCCTCAACCTCTGCACCTGATTGCATGGGCCTTGAAAAAGTTATAACATCTGTGAGCTCTCATTCATTTAACATAAAGTGGTATGATAATACCTACCTTGTCTAGTGTTATTATTAGGATCAGAGGAGCTAATAAAACAGAGCATACACTGAAAGGAAGAAGAGTTGAAGAAATGTTTGATTGTAACCCTCTTTACATTTCCACATGGGCACTCAGATATTTTAAAATTATAATTTATGTGTCATTAGAATCTTGTGAATGATAGACTTTCACATTTCATATGTAATTTAAATTTACATTTGTGGAATCAGATATTTACATATACTGATGCTTACAATCAGATCCTGATTATGCATTTTTATACTAAAGTTAAAAAATGCAGTAAATAGACATACATTTCTTAATGTGACACATAATGATACAAAAGTAAAGTAGTAAAACTTTTTGCAAAATTATCTCTAGAACTAGATTTATTTTGTTCCTAATTGGAGCTACCCATATGGACTCTAGTCCCAAGTAATATAGACTGTACTAGATGTCTAAATATATACACATACACATACACATACACATACACATACACATACACAATACACACAAGACTTATTTATTTTGAACTTTGTTGGGCATTATGTAGCTGCAAAGAGGATTTTTTTCTTATTTTGCCTTTTTAAAGATTTTTGCAAGGTAATATTGCATAGATAATTTCGAAGCTTGTTTTAAAATAAAATTTTCTTTACATTTTTTATAGGATTTGAAACAAAAATCACAAGGTTCCCTGCCACAAAAAAATATAATAAAGCTGAGTGCTGAGCCAAGGTAAAATACATGTCTCATATACTTTGACTACTTTTCTGACTTGACTCTTTTGGTTTTCATGATTCTGTTTTCTATTTGGCAGATAGTATTTCATTTAATCATTTTATTAATTTTAAAATATTTTCTGAAGAATGGATTTCCTCTCATGACTGTGTCATGTTCATTGCTAATAGTTAATGCATACTTGGCAAGAGATGGTAAATATACAGCTGTGATAAAAATTACCTTATCTTTGTAACATTGATTATTTTCATAGTATGTTTTTTCCTGATTAACTTTTTGTTTACTTACTTTCTTTTAATTAATCCCTATTTATTTTAAATGAAGAAAGAAACTTAATTAGTTGACCTAATAATGGTGCATTTAATTGGTGGCTGCCTCTGATTTACAAAGAAATGCTTTATGTTTTTATTGGCAATTATTCGAAAAGTCATCTGTTTTAAATGACCACATATCCATCAGTCAGTACCCAGTATACTGAGATACACAATGTATTTTTGTAATATAACTTTTTACTATTTAAATTGAGAAATTTAATATCACCTCTTACAAATCTTATATAATAAAGAGGTAATATGCAAATTGACTCTTATGCTGTAATGGCGTCAAAAGTTGGCAGCACGCACAGCGGGGGTGGGGCAGTGGGGGCATGGCTGGTGGCTGCTTCCGCCAGGGTTTCCACGGCCCCATGGCCCCGCGTGCGCACCACAGGGGCAGGGCCCGGTGGCCGCTGTGCATGGCCCAGAGGTGGGGCATCGGGGCGGCACTCCCAAGACTCGGGGCTGTCCGCAGTGTGCCGGCCTTGCAGGGCAGGACTCTGGGACTCGGAGTGGTCCCGTGGCACGGGGGACAGGGAGGGGGTGTGTCCCGGGTCTCACGCAATTTCGCGCAATGGGTCACTAGTTATAGGATAAAGGAATAACTGTAAAGAGGAATTCATGATTTTAACTAAGTGTACTTTATTAAAGTTATTAAAAAATAAATGGAATCAAAGTATTACAGAAAATTTACAATTGATCTTAAGGAAGTATCCATTCAAGGAAATTATTATTGATGGTAGCATGGGCCAGAAGAATACCATGCTATTCTATGTTGAAGAAAAAAGCCCCCAATATGTGTAGGGCACCAGGGCTGAATAGAAGACTGAATATTACAGCACAGCCACCTTGATCATAGCCTTTTGGTAACTTGCAGTCAGGCTACAACTACGCATTGAATGTGTTATTCACTCACACTTTTCTCCATGTCTGCATCTTCTTTATATCCTTCAGGCCTTATTAACAATCTGGTTATTTTATTTATTTATTTTTTTGTTGTCCATTGCCCTTACTAAAAATTAACTCTGTGAGGTCAGGGAACTTGTTTGCTGTTGAATCCCCAGGCAAATATCTGGCATAACAAATATTTGTCAAATTAACTAACTCAAGACAAGAGAGTCACGAGCCAATATCAACATGAAGATCAAGGGTAACTTTAACATTCACAGTGTGGATGTTACTTCTATGAGAGTAAATAAATGGAAAAGTTATCATGGAAACCTATGACAAAGCTCTACAAAATGACAAAAAAAAAAATGGGAATAGCGTGAAGACTCAGAAGAACCTTAAAAATTATTTATTACAGATACCAGAAAAAAAATGTTAATAAAACCCAATCTTTGGAATTCTCAAAATGGTTGAGTCATAATCTCTAAGCAATATGAAATAGAAAGCAAAAGGCTGAAATGAAAGGCCAAGATATGAAAAATGGGAGGAGTGCTGTAGGAAAGATCATTGGAAGGCTAGAATAGAACATCATTAGTGATTCTGAAGAGTAAAACGGATATTGTGAAAGAGTGTTTCACTGACATGAATTTAAAAAATTAAAACTCTTGAGGTACTTTTTAAGAATGCAGAGAAAAGGAAGACGAGTGGTAATGAGAAAGACAATTATAGGTATAGAGGACAGGATTTCAACAAAAGAACTATAGATTTTTTTAAATTTTTAAATTGCCGTTGACATACAATTATATTAGTTTGAGGTGTACAACATAGTGATTAGACAGTTACCTTATGAAGTTTAAACGTGGGGTGCGGGGAGCGGATCTCCCCTTTGCAGGTTCTTGCCTCATGAAGTTTGAAGAATAAAATTCGAAGACTAAAAGGACTTGTTAGTAAAAGGGTGGAAATTTATTGGAAGCAAATACAGACTCCCACGTAGGGAGGGGCTCCCAAGGGGGTAACCCACTAAGCCCCCTTTTTCTAAGGTTTATAAAGGCTATAGTTCTTTTTCTCTTCATGCTCTCTTCTAATTGGACCCCTTCCCTATTTTATGACCCTGTGCTTTTCTAATTGGTCACTCTTTTGCAGAATATCATCTTCAAAGTCCAAAACCCATGTGGTGCCCCCCTATATTTCTTCCCCTTATCTTGTAACATTCCTTTATCTCCTGAGAACATGTTTCCCTCTTTCCAGCATCTGTTGACATTTCTCTATCCTCTGTGAAAGTATGTTTCCTTTTTCCCCATACTCTATGATATGAAATTATGTCTTCCTCTCACCTTATCCTGTGACACCTTTCTATTCACTGTTGAATGTATGCTTTCTGGCGGCTCCAAGCCCTCACCTATGCATTCCTCCCCCATGGACCCTCTTTATTCCTAAGACTCCCTAACCTTGCCTATTTTATCCCTAAAATTCCTTTCAAAGTGATCACCTCAATGTCTAGTACCCATCTGACACTATGCATAGTTATTACAATATTATTGACAGTAATCCCTACACTGTACTTTACATCCTTGTGACTATTTTTGTAACTGTCAACTCGTACTTTTTAATCTTTTTCACCTTTTTCATTCATCCCCCAAGCCCCTTCCTATTGTTTTGGGGAACATAGTTTGTTAAAAGAATTATAGATTTTCTTTAGGGGGAAAAAAATGGAGCAGAGGCAATGATCAAAGATATAATTGATAAAAAGTCTCTTAGCTGAGAAAGTCTCTCTTTATAGATGTAAAGGGCTAATTTCTGGGTAGTATAAATGAAAAGAGAGTCATCCATAGTACATCTTGGTAACTTAATTCAATTAAAAAGAAAAGTTCATATTGTCAAATACCCAGACAATAAGACAAATATTATATAATATGGAACAAAAGCTAGACTGACTTTGGTTTCTTCTCTGTGATGAGAACAATATGGAGTATTGAAGTCATTTTATACTCAGTTATGTTTCATAGGTGAAAGCAACAAAAAGACATTTTAAAATATGGAAATCCTTATGAAACATAGGAAAGGCACCCTTCTTTTTAAAAATTGTCTTGATAATCAAGTCTAACCTCAGCTCACAGGTATATGAATCAAAATTGAGAAGACATTGGAAATAGATATTGTGAAATCCAAATAATTGTAACACCAAACTGAAAGGAGAAATGCCCATCTAGTTTTGGCAGAACTTTTATAATGTAAAGGTAGTTTACTCACAGTAATGTAGATCTATAGCTTCAGGTAATGTTAGCATTTGAAAGAGGTAGAGAGGCAGGAGCCTATAGATATTAAATAAATAATTGTTTTGTCTCAGGAAGATTTAAAAGATAAATGCTCATGGTGAGAGTGTTATTTCCTACTCAGTTGCCTTTATTTGTTGTCAAGGTACTATTGACTCCCCAAATATATATTTCTGAGGAAAGTATCCAGAGTTCCAGACCCACACACCCATAGGCCAGATGCATAGCTCCATTTAGATGACCCACTCACCTCCTCAATGTGTTTCCAACTGAACTCCTCTCCACTCAAACCTATTCTCTGGTCCCAAGCTCTTTAATAAAACTTTAGCATTGTCAGCCAGCTTACCAGGCCAGAAACCTGGGCCTTGATTTTATAGTGGTCATATGTTCCAGTTTGTCACTAGTGTCCCCTCTCACTCTCAAAAGTGTATTCATTTAGACAATAAATTATAGAATTTACCCTGATCATCTTTGTCACTTTTCTTTCAACTTATATCCAAACAAACTCCAGGTCTTTTCATTCTATTTCTTACATTGAATTTTATCTCAATTCTGTCTACTTCTGACCTTCAATGCCACTACTCTACTTCTGTGATGGCAATAACCTTGTCACAGATATCTCTGCCTCATGCATTTGTTGAAAAAATTAAATAAGGTTATTTATATGAACTTAATACTGTGGAATCTAGCAGTTAGTAGGCACTCAACAAAATAAGTAACTCCTTAGCTCAAAACCCATTTATTCTCCCATGGCCTGTGGGTAAACTCCTAAATGCTAACTTGGCTTATGTGTCTGCATTTTGGTTTCTCTAGCAGCATCTTTCATATCACCCCAGCCTGCACTGTGTGCTTCAGTCCTCACCTATCAATTCTATGACATGCCAAGTTCTCTCTTACTTCTAGCCTCTGCTGCTTGGGAAAACAAACAAACAAACAAACAAACAAAAAACTACCGCCATCACCACCCCACCCCCAATTTGTCTGATTGATTCCTTGTTATCTTTTAGGACTCAACTTAGATGTTACATTCTGTGTAACCTTCCCCTAATATCTTTGAGTCAGGGCTAGGTGTCGCTCTTGTAAGCTCCCACAGGACTATGTTTTCCCACTTACTACATGTATAATATTCCTTTGAAGAGATGTCCTATTAACCTGATGAAGTCATGACCTGGGTCTTGTTAATTATTCTACCATGACACATGGAGCAGTCTTTTCGGAAAGTGGTATAGTAATATGTGCCAGGAGCATTCAAACAGCAATGCCCTGGAAGATATATCTCTCAGCTTTATCATGTGAACAGATATTTTAAAAGACTTTACATTTTGGTCAACAATAACCATCAATGGATTAGTCAAATATTCTGTGTTCACAAAATTCTATATGAAGTTTTTAAATGATGTCAAATTAGCATTTCTTTTTTGTAATAAAAGCATTGTAGGATTGGTAAATACTGAGGTTTTAGCTTAAGTCTTAATGAAATCTGGCTTTCAATTTCTGTGGAGAAAATGCAGAGGACCTGTTT